GAGGGGTAGTAAGCATGCGTAATTTCTTTTCAGCACTAAATTAAGCATCTCTTTCTTGAAAAAATACAATTATTTATAAGCATAAATCTATATAATCAATGATTTGATTTGGCTGTGCTGCCACTTTTTTGCTTGGCATACATCTAAATTCGAAACATTCTGCCAAAGTTTATCACTGATTTTACACTTACTGAATTACCCCTGGTGAATCATTTTTCATTATTTTTTGCTTTTATTGTCATATAACTATGAATTCATGGGAGTTTCAGCTCATGCAACAATATTTAAAATACTTTTTTTTAATTTTTTTTTTATTTATCAGTTTATTTAATTTTTTATATACCAACTAGCATGGTAACTTTTTATACTAACATTATGCTTGATGATGATTACAGATTTCAGCCAACTGTGCTGTAAAGTATTGAGTGTGTTGACAAGGAGAAATTTGACAGAAATTTACTTCCATAGGCAAAAAATAGTGTTTCTAAATGATGTTTGTAATGTGAAAGTTTACATTTACACTGGTTATCATAATTAAGGAAAAATCACAAAAATAGTGATAGCTCCCTCAAAAATAAGCCAAACAGTGTAAAATTTGAATATGTTGCCAAGTAAGGCTAGCTGAGTAAAACTCCAATATGCAAAATAGTGGCACTGCACTCGGAGTACGTCATCTGCGAGGAGCATAAAAGTCCATGTTTGAGGCAAGCCCACATATTGCAGTGTGATAGTGACATCAGAAATCTGAGATAGCCAATTCGTTACAATGACCTCCAGGCATCATTTGCCTGCAGAACTATGATGGAGAGCCATTGGGAGTTTAGCGGCAAGACAAAGTTAAACAGAACTGACCAGATGGCTAAATGTGAGTCCTTCTGTGGTTCATAGACTTTGGAGGCAATTTCAGACCACAGATTCGGCATCTAGAAGGTTCAGCCAAGGACAGCCAACTGCTATGATGAGTGCCGATGGCTGATATTTGACATTATGTGCACGCAGGAATAGAACCGCTACTCCAACTCTTCTTAGATCCTCCCTTGCTGCAGCCACCAGAAGGTTCGTGTCAATGTCAACTGTGCATAGAAGGCTTCACGAAGGTGGTCTGTATGCAAGCCGGCCAGCCATTTGTGTGCTACTCACGTCACGCCATAGGAGGGACGTTTTCAGTGGGCACGACAACATGTCCACTGGACGCCTGATCAATGGAGGGCGGTTCTCTTTACGGATGAGTCCAGGTTTAGTCTAAAAAGCGATAGTAGGTGTTATTTGATATGGAGAGAACCTAGAACCTATTATCATCCATCAAACATCTGTGAAAAAGATGCATATGGAAGGGGCAGTGTCTGTGTTTGGGGTGACATCTCTTTGGGTAGACGCACAGACCTCCCTGTCTTTCCAAGGGGAACCGTGAATGCTCAGGTTTATAGAGATGACATCCTTGATGTTTATGTATTCCCATATCCTGGATCAATAGGTGATGCTTTCCTGTTACAGGACGACAACGCAAGACCACACAGGGCTTGCATCGTAGATGATTACCTTGAACAGGAAACAATTATGCGCATGGAGTGGCCAGCTCCATCCCTGGACTTGAATCCTATCGAGCACATTTGGGATGCTTTAGGGAGACGTCTAGCTGCTCTCAATCCACTCCTTCAGACTCTTGTACCGCTTGCAACTGCTTTGCAAGATAAATGGCTCTCGCTTCCTATGGAACTGATAGACCGCATAATTGAAAGCATCACACATCGCTGTATGTGCTGTATTGCTTCTAGAGGCGATCATATTCCATATTGAAGGTACTTTTCCTATAACAAACTGACACCTTCAATTTGTTCATTTTATACATGTGCTAATTTCTATACTACCATATTTGTCTGGTAATTTCTTTTTACGCTATTTGATACCTTACTATGTGTTGTATATTGTGGGTAAGTTTAATTAAATTCTACATGTAACTTTTTCAGTAATCGTGGTTTTTGTGATTTTTCCTTAATTTATGGTAACCAGTGTAGTTCTGTTTGAATTAAGAATAGCTGATTCTTTTGCTGCACAATGTCTTTCCAAATTCTTTAACTTTTGTTACCTCATGCCTCCCTTAAATTCTAAAAAATTTGCTGTCTCTAAATTTTGTAGCTCAATTTTTCTCTAAATTCTAAAATTTTGCTTTAGGCAGCCTTTTTGCAGGCACCTTTTGCACCTTCTCTGGTACTAACACTGGATAAGCTCTAAATACATGTTGAAATTTATTTTTTTTGGGGGGGGGACTCGGATAAGCCTTAAGCATGCACAGGAAATAGATGTAAGTATAATAAATAACTAAACTATAAAATTGAACTTCCCTACATCCAATAGATGCAAAATAAAATTTAGCGAAACAACATGTCTGTAGTCACCAATCTCACACACTTTACCTTCACTCATAGCAGTAACTTCGTAATTTTCAAAAATCTGCTGGTGAATTTCGACAGCAGACAGGTTTCTTGCCGACAGAAAACATATCATTAACCGTACCTCACATGTGGTGGGTGATTCGATAATCTTGAACATTTTAAAGACACAGAACAGACCGTACTGGTTACCTATGCAGCTGCAACTGAGTATAGGTGTTTCCAAGGAATGCCGGGACACAGTGCAAGTACTCGTTGTGCCACCTATTAGTATATGAAACAAAATGGCCCTTACTTAAAAAACACGCTGCATACTTATGATTTTACAGATAATGATCTGATTACATTGCTTTCTGAAATGCCATCTGGAGATAATTTAATTTGCTTTTGTTTCATTAATGCACTTATTTGTGTTTTGGTATATATGTTTTAAATGTACATTTTCATTTTCTATATTTTTTATTAATTTTTAGTCTGAAAACAATGTTAACCATAAATGGGATATTAGTCTCAAAACAGCATTTTGTGTTGAATTGCTGTAAACAATGTATACTTTTCAAATTGTGAAAAAGCAATGACACCTAGAACCATTAAATTTTAAATAACATAATCCTCCACCCAAGCATGGGCACCCGGAAATTCGAATTTGTTTTATTATCTATTTTATATGTTATAAAACTTTAATGAATTTTTAAACGAACTCGATGATTACAATGCAAGCAGTGGCAACACTGTACAGAAAAAAGCATTTTTATCTGCAGAGCGCGAGACTGTCTATCGGAAATTTTAAAGATATGATGTTTTTAAATATTTTAAGATTTTGCTGTTGAATCAAGTTTTATGTGTCGTAAGCACCAAGAATTGGATATTTAATAAATAAAGTAAACACCAAAATGTTAATAATAAAAAGATAAAAAAAATTTGTAATCTCAGTAAAATTTTTTGCCATCTCAGTAAAATAACTGAACATTGATATGATGAACTGACAAGACTGGACAGAAAAAAAAGTGTGCTTGCTCTGCAACACTTACACAGCTTTTCTTTCATCTGCTGAACGTTTCTGTATGGAAATCAATGAAATATCATGTTTCTTTCGTAACATGATACGTATTACTGCAGGTTTCAATGGCACAGGGCGCCATTTTTTTTCCAATATATTCCTGTTACAAACACTTTATAAAAGCTAATTCATTTTAAACATACTCTCAGCTATAATTTTCAAGTAAAGAAACTTCTTTCAAAGAATCTAAGAAGTAAAGATTTAAGCTTTCGCTCTGTGAAGCTGGTCAGTAGGCGAGGTGAGGAACCCAGTGACGTCGCATTGCTCCCCAACAGGGTTTATGTTGGCATCATTCCCCTCAAAAGTATGAACCAGCATTTCTTTTTCTTTAGCCCTGATGTGTAAGTCCTTTATTTTTAAAGTTTTTCTATAGGTCCTGTAGAATTGCATTTCTTCCCCATAGCTCTAAAAAAGAAGGAAAATAAATTGACATATAGTATCAAAATTCTGTTATAAAAATAGAATGTAACATATTCAAAACTACTATCTTTTTAATCTGATATAAATTTAGAAATCAAACAGTCATTTTGATATGGAGGGAGTAATACTTTAACCCTTCAGTTGTTGTGATATTAAGCAAGTCTTTCTTCACCAATAAGCACAATATCTGTTGGCTGTAAATATGTAATGCAAGCTTTTGCATTCTTTCTCAACCACTGTGTAACTGGAATACAAGATGAGCTCATTTATGACCCAAGGTAAATGTGCTTATACATGTGATATGCCAGTTGCACACAAACTTCCGTAAATAAATTTACAAGTATAAATTTGAGGACCATTGGTTTTGGATATGAAAATGAAATTTTAAAGCACTGAATTTATAAAATGAAATTAATTTTAATCAATTAAAAATGTTTCTCTTCCCTCTTTCTGGAATAACATTCTTGTACAACCCTATGTCAGAATGTCTTGCACCTACTGTACCTTTATAGTGGCCAGTTATAGAAGTGACTGAATTTCATGTAGATAGAAGTATGTATATCTGTTGTGCTCTGAATATGTAAATATATTTTACTGTGAATTATATCCTTATTATTTTCATGTAATTTACAAAAATCTGGCTGTGATATAATTTAGAAATTACTAAAAATAGGCGATTAAAATTATTCATATCAATTTATCACCAAAAAGTACAGAGTAATATTCATTTGAAAGTATTGTAACTGTAAATTAAACTAAAATCTTCTATAGTTTGGTGAGATGATGTATTATTGAATGCTTTCTTTAAAAAAATTATTCTGTGTTGATGATCATGATCATTTGAGTTTTACCATTGAATAGAACGAAACTCATCAAAAATAAAAATTCATGATTACAATCTTACTCCGCTTTCTTGAATCAAAGATTTTAAATCTCGGAACAATTGAAACAAAATTAAGCATAATACACTAAACATATTCAGGGTTAATGTACTGTTTGTAATTTTTTACTTTAGGTTTTTATTAATTAGTTTTAAGGTAGACTGTTTACATTAATAATTGTATTTTAACCACATATCTAAAAATTAATTGGGTTCAGTCGCTGTTTTTAAATCTGTCTATCTTTTTTAGATATAGTACAATCTGCATCTACCAGCCTGTTTAAACCATCAGTAATATCTCCAAATGCTGTGATTGCTATTGCAACGCTGTCTGTCATCTTATTATTAATAAGTGTGGGAACCTTTTTATGCATCAAACGTAAATCAGGTATTTCTAAATTAGGCACTTCATATTTCTTTTATATTTTTCTGGCATTGATTTTCAAAAGATCAACTAATGTGAGATGCTATCAAAAAATTTATGAAGTTTCTTTAAAATATTTTTTACTAACATTACACCTTAGTCTGTTCCATCACTCTAAAAATACTGTATTTCATTGTAAACATTTATTCCAGTGTCATTGTCATAATTTGAAAGTTTTTATTGAAAGCCATCTTTTGTTAAGTGATTTAGCATCATATGCAGTCCTTTGGTACTTACGTATTAACGCAACCAGGCCAAAATTCGCATAAATTGCCAAATTTGGCGACCCTACTTACGGCAACCCTACGTGTTATACGTAGTTTTGTAAAAGAGCATGTGGAGATTAACAAAATTTCCGTGCTAATTTTTGTAATTTATGAGAAAATAGCAGTGTACATGGATAAAGTCAAGAGTGTGCGCAATGCCATTTTTTGTGCAATTCTGGGATGTTTTTTTAAGTAAAAATAAGTCGACGTGTACATGGTTATGGCGAATATGGTTTTCAATCAGTGCTAAAAGCAATAGCCAAAAGATTTCCGCCGAAAAAATAATTCTGCAACTTATTCAAATTCGAAACCGGAAGGGTTTAATTGCTATTTTATATTTTAAAACAAAATAATATAAAAAACTGTATTAAAAATTATCTGTAATTAATAAATGTACATTTTCTTTCTATTCATACTTTTTTACTCAAACTTACAAATAGCACCAACCTGGTTGCGATAATACGAAAGTACCGTCCTTTTTATGGTCTAAATCATTGGTTACTCAATGGGGGCAGTGAAAGAATGCCAAGGGGTGATGAACTTGTTTTGGGCGGTAGGGAATGATGAGCATGTTTTAATATTCAAACTTATTTTAAAAAATCCTTCCAAAATTTTTTAAATCGATTATCTGATTTACACCATTTTTATCAGTAATAAAATGAATTTCCAGTACAGCTTCCCTCATGCGATTCTAAGAATGATGAGAAGAAGCTGCGAAAAATTCATCTTCACAAACAAAATAAAAACATCAGACATCAGAGCCAAGTTTCCCAAACATCAGAGCCAAGTTTCTGAAGGTACCATTTATTACCAAACTAACATTATAAACAATTTCAAAAATAAAACAACTCATTTAATTTAAAATGAATTGTTTCATAACTTAAAAATATAAACTAAAGTAAATGAAAAAGTGCGATATTTGTCGATTTATCGTTTGTGCCTGACTAACGGAAAAGTATTTACTTTTTATGCAAGATATATAAGCCGACCCCCAAAATTTAGCTTTACAAAAATTTCCAGAAATTAAATTCTCTGCTTATTCACGGTATGTACAGCAATTTGTTTCAGAGTGGATGTTTTGGTAAAATATTTGTTTTATGGCTTTATTTTATTTTCAAAGTATTTAATTTAATACTTTTTGTTGCTTTTAAATTTTTCACCTAGTTTAAGGACAATATTAATTTGAAATAGATTTTTCTATGTTTTTTTATAGCTTATAAAATGTTTATAAAATGTTTATGAAAATTTTCACCTATGACCTATACAATTTTTTTTTCAGCTGTATTTTGATATAAAAATACTGATAAGTGCTTAATGTCCAAAAACACTTACAGAGTACCATTTGAGTGATATTACTTAAGTACCTGAAAGTGGCAGGCAGTAGCATTAGATACTAATACTCAGATGTTTAAAGATGCCTAGAGTATATGAATAATCTAGTTGAATGCCTGTAGGTGCTGAAAAGTAGTGACAAGGTTTATTGCTCAGAACTTCTGTACTAAAGAGAGAAAATAGTGTACTTAATTATAATGCCTTCCAGTTAAAGAAAGTGTCTATTAAAAATGTATTAATGTTTACAGTGTACCTAGTTATGTTATTTACATGCATATTGCATATAATTTGAATATTTCAGGGAGAATTACTAGAATGCACTAGATTTTGGGTTTTTAAAATAATAATAATAATAGTTAATAAACAATAATACCTAATAAAAACTGGATTTTTTTCTCTTCTAGTTGTTAAAAAAAAAAAAAAGCATGCTTTTTCAGAAGCTATATTTAACAATGTATCCTGAATCTAAACTGCTATTGCAAATTAATTGTATAGACTTTTGTCCTTAAATTTGAAAAACACACTTCTTGATTTTTAATTTTTCCCTTTTATAATGCCAAAAATGGCGTAAGTGTGCAAATAGAATGGTTGTTTTTCATATCAAATAACAGGACAAAGATAAAATTTGTTACAATTATTATACCTTCCTTTTCCCCTTTTTTTAAATATTTTATTGAAATGCTTTCACTTGCTCTGTAGATTTAACTTTTGATGCATTTATTACTATCTTCATTTTTGGTTAACTTATTTTTGTGTTCATGTAATTTGGGATTTTGATGCACTTTTGATCGTTTTATACTGTTAGGCAAGAGTGTAGCACATCTTAATACTTTGCAAATCAGCACACTTTTATCTTTATATTTTGTTTGGGTTTATCCTTTTTTATATTATGTTTCAATAATTCATAAGTTACATATTTCATCATTGCTTTCTTCTGCATTTACTTTAAAAGTAATTGTGTGTTCTCAGCCTTTTATGCTTTCAGAATATTTTTTTTAAAGTTTATCAAAGGAAATTTTGCTGACTACTTGATCTTGAGTTTTTCTCAGCTCTTTATTGTTTTATTTTGTCTTTGATTTAAATTTCAGGTGGCTTTTTGTAGTATGCTGGATTTTTTCTTTTTACTCATCCTCTCCATTTTCATTGGGTATCCTCTAGAGGAGTATTTTGATAATTTCTTCATGCTTTAATGTGAATATAGTCAAATGCAGGTTATTTGAACATTTTTAGTTTCAAGGTCAAACTAATCTTCTCTCTCTTTTTTTTTGAAAGGTATTTTTCTTGCTGATAAAAATTATGATAAAAGTAAGATTAAAAATACATTAAATATCATTATATTTAACGAGGAGTTAAAAATTGATGTAAATAATCCTGAATATCTGTTTCTGAATAATGCCAAGATCCCATTTGTTCAGAATGAACAGAAAATCAAGTAAAATGAAAGCATTTATTCAACAATGATTTAGCCCATCAAAAGTTTAACTTTTACATTAAAAAATATTTAAAATAATAACAATTATAATTAAAATATAATGTAAAGAAAAAGAAAATCTCAAAGGTTTCAGATTTCAAATTACGTCTAAAGGGATTTTTTTTAACATTTTGTGTGTTACCTTTATTTATTAAATATCGTTCTTTGCTAGACTAGAAGAGAAACACGCTAATGTGACAATCAAAATCGTAAAAACAACCTTGTATTTAGCGTAAGTATAATGAAACACTCAATCGATTTCGAGGGCAGCTAAAGGTCCCTCCTCATCAGGAGAAAGAAATACCTAGAAAGAAGAAAATAAAGGAGAAGGAGTCTCAGAAGCACATGGTCCTTATCAGCACTGCACATGGTTTTAACTGGATTTTTAATCAGAGTTGCACTGGCCGCCTACTTTTACTGAGCCAGGCTATCTGATCAAGCATAAAGGACAAGAAAAATTAGAGAAGTTAAAATAGGGAGCGAGGGGCAAATGCACCTTCACGCTCTAAAGTGCTCAGTATATCCACATATAAAAAAAAAAAGGTATCATTTTTGAAACAAGCATACTCAAGTATACTTGTATCTTGGTTGTCACAGCAAGATCAGCTGGTGCCAGATGGTGATAACTTGGTAGCAAATGCCCTTTTCAGCATATATCTATCAACATATGATGTCTCTGATAGTTGAGAAATAATAAGACAGAAGTGTGATTTTTTTTTAGGATTGTGCAATGTATCTGAAAAATTGAGCATCTTACAAATATTGTATAGAATACAATTATATATTGCCATCGAAGATGTGTAACAGAAGTATTATATTCAAAAGTGCACATAGGCAGTAATATAGATATAGACGACCGCCTGTATCTGGTATTGCTTAGATTGGCTACATTTTTTTCAAAGATGTTTTTCGTGAATCTAATTATTGTTACCAAATTTTTAAAAAAAATGTATACAGTTCACTTAAAAGAAGAGTGTTGCTAATCCATATTGAAAGCACTGATACTTCTGCTTCATTCAGTGGTTATCTTTTGGAGTGTAGCCATTTCGTGTACATATCTTCCTCTTTAAAATTTATCTTAATTTTAATTATAATTTTTTTTACCAGATTAATATTTAATAATCACACTTGTGTGCAGAATTAAGATAATTTACACATAATGTCAAATATCTGAAAAACTGATGGACAATCTGTCCATGTCTGTTAATGAAATCTGGCATTATTATGATATTTTTATAACAGAGAAAGTGATGTACCATTCAAAAGTCCAAGTTGCAAGGATATCCAAAATTCACATTGTGATATCGAATTGAAAATGAATCTAATATGGGTCACAGCTATACAGGTCGCAGAGTGTGACGGCATGGTGGGCAGGAGGCAGTTCAAATATTTGAAAAACTGATGGAGAGATTTTAATGAAATCTGGTATGACTGTGATACTTTTATAACAGAGATGTACCATTCAAAAGTCATTTTACAAGTGCATAATTATCAGTAAAGCTCATATTACAGGATGCCCAAAATTCACGTTGTGATATTGAATTGAAAATGAATCTAATATGGGATATGGTTCCCTCTCACAGACATACAGGTCACAGAGTGTGATGGCATAGTGGGCAGGAAGCAGTTGAGGAATCCATATGCAGTCAATCCTACTCCTGCAGCAAGCAGTATTCAACTCAGGTTGGTTCTCGGAGGGGGATGATGCGATGACATTTCCATTCCAGCCATCGCATTCCAGACATACAGTATAGTGTGTGGAATGCTATATAGGGTAAGATCTAGCTGGCCAGAGCATGCGATGATCTAGCTGGCCAGTGTCTCACTTTCCAGGTTATTGTCGATCACTTGAGCCCTGCATAGATGAGTGTTGTTGTCCAGTAACAGATAAAATTGTAAAATATTCTGCATTTCTGTAATAGTAAATATAATTAAAATTATGAGGAAAAAATGAAATTACTATTTTCCCCCTTTTTTTGTATGTTTTATTTTAAGAGAACATTTTAAATAAAATTTTTGTTTTGCTTCATAACATAATTCAATTTAAAAGTTTCATTTGCATGACTTGAATAAAATGATGTATTGCAAATATTGTCATTTGCTGTACAGTAGAAGTCCATTAGTCCGGCATCCAACATTGCGGAATGCCCGATAGTCCGGCATCGCTCCGGAAAATTGTAATAATTTTGGTTTTCTCCAAAAGTGTGTCTTTAAAGCAAATAAAACCGCTCGAGAGCTATTCGGAAGTTTTTGGGGTAGTTCGAGATCATCCGGAAGCGCTCGGTATTGTTCGGAAACAATTAGCGGCGGCTAGTCTCAGCTGTCACAACAAATTCAGGTGCAGTGCAGCTCCGTTAATCAATCACGAAGCGTCTTCGCCATTTTTTTGTGGCGTTGTTGTTTTGTGCCCTTTCACATCGCAGTAAACGTAACTTTTGAAACTGTTTATAAAAAAAGTGATTTTCGTTCTAACTGTACAGTGACCATGTTTTCAAAACCTAAGCCTTCAAGTTCAAAAGGAGAGAAACGAAAACACGTAACACTGACTCTCAATCAGAAACTAGAAATTTTATACTAAACGCCAAAAGTCAAGAAAACAAAAAGACATTCGTGACTTTTTTAAATCTAAGTGAAATATGTTTTACAGTACGTGTACATACATTATATGAAATGTAAAATAAACTTTGTTGTATGTATTTGCATACTGTATTTTTAGTTTAATTATTAACCTAATTGTTCTCATAATTACCGCCCGATAGACCGGAATTTTCGGTAGTCCGGCACCGAGCCGGTCCCGAACGTGCCGGATTATCGGACTTCTACTGTATTTGGTTTTGCAATACATTGTTTCATTTTCACTATTATTCAATAATTTTGAGAAAATTTATTATGAAGGTATTTTCAAAAGCTATAACCTTAATTTGAATTCTGTGCTCTTTGATTTGGTTAAATAATGACATTTTGGGATTTTCTTTTTATGAGATTCAGTTGAGAGAATGCATGATTTGTAAATGCAAACTGTATATTTAATTTTTATTGTGGAATGTAAATATTAATATTTTAGCCATTGGATTAATTAAACATTTCTAGATAGCCATATTGTATGTAATGAAAATTTTACGATACATTTTTAGTATCTGATTTTTTAAACAAATTTCTTTTTATTTTTAATTTAGGAAACCATTTGAAAGCTAGTTATAAAAATGTGGAAAAAGGTAAAATTTCATTTTGGTATTTTTATGTAATATAAAGAGCACAAATAGCTTAGTGAAATATGTTCTCATGCTCATATTTTCATTTATTGTTTTAGTGTTGATTAATATTTGTTACACAAAATAATGAAATGAAATTAATCCTTGCTGAATAAAGGTTATTCATATGTTAAAACTGTTATTCTGTCAAAATAAGAAAGCTGCCTTACACAAAATAGACACATAATTAAGCATCTTTAGTGTTAAATGGGAAGAGAAGCGTGCCGATATGGAAATTAAAAATATTCACATCAGGAAACTTATTTTGATACAGATTTTGAATGAACACTTTTGAGCACGATCAGAAAGGCTCAATGTAATGTATCTCGGCAATGTTGTGTTTGCTCATTTGCTAGGTAAATAATTGTAACTACTTACCTGTTGATAAAATTTCATCTCATATGCAAAGTTTTTTTTTTAAATTCACAATGATAATTTAACATAAATTAATGGATATATATATATATAATGTTGAATGATCTAAAATTCACTTAATTCGAGAACAAGTTTTTTTTTAATACTTGCACAATAGCTGCAAAGTAAGATAATAATAATTTATTTACTAAAAAAATATTGATTATATTATCTCCTAATATAAATTTAGTAGAAGTATCACTTTATTCGTAAAAAGCAAATTTAAAGTGAATTAAATTTTAACTAATGAAATTTAATTGCAAACAAATAAATAATTAATTATTGCTGCGAACTAATCTACGTATCTTGGCAATGTTGTGTTTGCTCATTTGCTAAGTAAATAATTGTAACTACTTACTTATCTGTTGATAAAATTTCATCTTATATGCAAAGTTTTTTTTTTTAATTCACAATGATAATTTAACATAAAGTAATGGATATATATATATTTAAGAAACATTCTCTATTCGTAAAAAGCAAATTTAAAGTTAATTAAATTTTGAATAATGAAATTTAATTGCAAACAAATAAATAATTAATTATTGCTGCAAACTAATCTACAATATCATTGAAATTCTGAGAGCATATGTAAATCAAGTGCAAGAATCAAAATCCATGATAAATATATAATTCCAAAAAAAATTTTTTTAATCCTAAAAAAATTATAAAAATGCATAAGTGAATAATTGTTGAGCAGGCGGGAGACACACACTTATCAAGGGGAAGTTGTCTCCAAACCTAACTCTTCAATTATTCAATTCGTGTTTCGTCATCCATGTAGACAAGGGTAAAAGTGAAATACAAAACCAAAAGTAAAATCAAATGTAGTGAATAACTAAAAAGAAATTTAAACCAGTGGAATTTTGAGAAATTAGCAAGTAAATGACTAGAATTAAAATTAAAAAAAGGTCAATTAAGAGTAGAAAACCAATTTTTTTTTTTTTTAAACCAAAGTAATTTAAAAACTCTTGCCTACAGAAAACTTCCCCCGACACGAATTATGCATATAAATCAAAAAGAAACTAGATACTATCTATAAAAAATCCATAAATAATACTAAAATAATACTAAAAAGATGAGTAAATAGTAAGTTTTAATTTACCAACTATATTTTAATTTGGAGAGTGGAGCAGCATTTGCCAAACTAAGTGATGTAAAGTAGTGTGTTTTTGCTAAATTTATAAATAGAGGGTGCAATAAGGTTAGTTGAGTGTTAACTGCTATCTGTTTTAAAAACCTATCTCTAAACTTTTATTAATGTAAATGTGTTTTTTGTTTCAAAATGTTGCAACTGTGAAGTATTGTAAAATGTGTAAAAAATAAAAAAATGCTAACTGTAACATATGTAAAAAAATTGTTTGCAACTATTAAGATTGTAAAAAATGAAATGTTTTGAAATAAAGTCGAAAAAAAATTTTTTGAAGTAAATTAAATAACTTTAATTTAAATTTTTGAATTTTTTTTAAATGTTGTAATTTAGACAATTTCCTTGCATGTCTATTATTTAAACAGAATTTCAACAGTTTAATCAACCTTCTAAATGTAAATAATATAATAACTTTATAATGTAAATAGCTAAATAAATTAATAACTGCCAACAGGAGAATAGAAAAAGAATAAAATCTTCATCAATTGGGCTATATGAGACTTTTGAAAAGAGGGCCCTTCATTCGTAAAGGAATAATCCAGTATTGATATATATACATCTTACAAATTAAATTTACAATAAATATTTACAAGATAGTCCTTTAAACTCTTAAAAATCCTCCATAACCCTCCAGTTAAGGTGAAAGGTAATGTTATCATAAAGAGTCAAAAAATTATAAAGAAAAGTTAATGTCTGCCTTTTTAATATATAAATTAATAAATTGTGTTGGGACTTTAAGTTGAACATTAATTAGCTTTATTATTTCTTCCTTTAAAACTTCTATTGCAGTACATATATTTTTTATTCTGATTGTTTGGCTATAAAAAGTGTTACCTATTACTTTTGTAGAGATATTAGAGTTCCAATTAATTAGTTTAATAGTATTAAACTAGAAATTCCTCCTTTTATCATATAATTTAATTTTGCTGTGTTTAATTATGAGCAGGTCTAGGTATTCAATAGTATTTTGATTTGTATTAGTTTTATTAAGTGTTAAGTTGGTGTATTTAATTATGGCAAAGCACACTAGGGCTATCTGCCTAAGGGGAGGGATGCCTTTCGTGTAGAACTTTCTAAGGGAAACTGGCTCGTATACGTTACAACATGGGGAAAACCACAAAAACGCCCATGCAGCCAGCCCGTTCGCGGGATTCGAACCTCGGACTGAACTACCAGTGTTCAGCGTCTTTACCGCTCGGCCGCTGGTGGGCCTTATTAAGTGTTAAACTATTTGGGTAAATTTTGAATTGTTCAAAAAGCAGAATTATTATTGAAAGTTATAATATCATCAATGTATATAAGTGTATTTGCAAATAATTTTAATTCTTTCTTGTTCAAACTTAGTTGGAATTTATATTCATAAGCAAAAAGAAATAGGTTACATATTTGTGTAGAACTGTTTGCTCTCATTGGTATTCCTCTCACCTGCTGAAAGATCTTATTATTTAATTTAATGTAGTTATTTAATAATGCACAATTCAGGTAAGTTTTCCATCTTTCGAATCAGAGGATGTCAGGAAAAAGTTGTGGGAGTTGCATTACACTAGTGAAAATTTCTTCTAATGGTAGACAAGTATAAAGTTTTCAAAGTTATAGCAGTTAATGTTCTTGATTTCTAAACTTTTAAATTTGTTGAGAACTGGAGCATTATTATAAATAATCCAACATAGTTGTGTGCTTGTTAACTATTGATGAATTAAAATACAGATTTTTTTCAGTTTAATTGTAAATATGATCTATATTCTTTTTAATTATTTGTACCTTTGCTATAAATCTAAATTTGAGTGGTGATTTATGGAATTTAGGAAGAGCATATAGATTTTGCTAATCTATCGTATAGATGGTTGTGAAATTTGTTGTTTCTTATGAATTGCTTTTAGTTTTTTGCAATGACATTTTCTTGTGTATTGGTAAGTTTGTAATTAATGACATTATTCAGTTCAGTATTAATTAGTGAGACATAAAAAAATTTTCAAATAATGCTGAAATTATTACTGGCTTTGTCAATTTTGGTTATTCCGAATTTTTGGTTCAAATCTTGCAATAGAGGATTGCGAAAATTCCATGGCAAATTGCTGTTAAATTCAATCCTTCGAATTCTTTGCTTCAGTTCTTCTAACACTTTATGTTTCCATAAATATAGAATATGGAATATTTAATTTGTAACTAGTTTTTAACTATGAACTCGTCTGGATTTTTTTCGAAACTTTTAAAACTATGATTTATGCCAATTTTCAGTAGTGGCCTAAATTTGATGCCTTTTTCCATTACATTTCTTAGAAGCTGGTTTTGAACTATTGTTAAATTGCCAGTAACAATATATTTATGAAATTCGTCTACATAGTCTTTGTATTGAAGCTCTTTGCAGATGCTGTAGAAGCTAGGTCATGGTGGTTAATTAGCAATTTGCTAAGAGATCTTTGATACTTGAAAGCTGGTGAGATTTGTACTTTAGTAGCTGGAAATTGTTGTTGACATTTTTTTGAAAATTTTGCTGAACTGAATATTGTCATAGTTTGGATATCTTTAATAGTTTGCAGCCATTTTTTCACATAACATTACAGTAAGCGTTTTTGCACATTTTTACAATACTTCACAGCTAGCAACATTTTTGCAACAGAACACACATTTTACATTACTTCAAAGTTTACAGAATGGGTTTTTGAAACGGATCTAACAGATAGCAGCTTAACACTCAACTTATATTAGCGCCCTCTATTTATAAAGCTAGCAGAAACACACTACTTAACATCACTTAGTTTGGCAAATGCTGCTCCACTCTCCAAATTCAAATATAATTGGTAAGTTAAATTAAAACTTACTATTTTCTTGCCTTTTTAGTATTATTTATGTATTTTTTATAGATAGTATCTAGTTTCTTTTTTTATTTATATGCATAATTCGTGTCGGGGAAGTTTTCTGCGGGCAAGAGTTTCTAAATTACTCTGGTTTTCTAAAAAATTTGGTTTTCTACTCTTAATTGACCTTTTTTTTTTTAATTTTAATTCTAGTCATTTATTTTGCTAATTTCTCAAAATTCCACTTGTTTAAATTTCTTTTTAGTAATTCACTACATTTGATTTTACTTTTGGTTTTGAATTTCACTTTTATCCTTGCGTACATGGATGGCGAAACACGAATTGAATAATTGGAATCAGGTTTGGAGGCAACTTTCCCTTGATAAGTGTGTCTCCTGCCTGCTCAACAATTATTCACTTATGCAAAGTTGTAAATAATGGTACTTTTGCATGAACAAATTTATGTCATTTACGCTTTTAGAATAATACACAGCAATGTCGTTTTTATGCTTTTAGAATAATATTCAATTTTTTAATATGCAGTCTGTATGAAATTTTACATAAGTTTTTTTGATTTATAATTAACATGTAAAATATGACGTTACAGTAAACTGTTCATCATCTTAAACCTAATTTCTTCATATTTCTATGCACATCAAAATTTTTGTTGGTGTATGTATTTTACTAGAAATAATTAACAGGACAAAATATTTGTTTTATTTAAAGAAATTAAAACTGCAAAAATTTAGAGTATACTGGTAGAAGGTTGCAAGAATAATTTAACTAATATTTCTGTGCAGACGATTTTTTTTTTCTTCTTGTATTTGTTGAGTTGTAGAAACTGCATTATAATTATGCAGTAATTTTAATATTATTACAGATTAAGAAATTTTGCCTTAAAAAGTAAATTCTCTTGAATGCTATATTAAGTGAAATGTATATTGATAACATGCATTTTAATAGTGTGCATTTTAATGCAGTTGTATATATAAAAAAGATTTTGCTATTCGTTTGACTTTATCATTTTACTTTGTAAAAAAACAATGGACATGTAAAGATTTAGTGCAAGGGATATGTTTATTTTTATAATTTTTTTTTATATCTTTAGGACTTTTAAAGAAATTAAATAATTGTTTAGAAGTATTCGGAGGCTTAAGAAAATTTTAATTTTCTGTATATTTTGTAGGTGAATTAAGCTGTGAAGAAGATGATGCTTCGAAAAAGCATATTCAAGTGCTTATTCTTTATTCTCATGACTATGAAACTAAAAAGAAGGTTCGAATGTTGAAGGATTTTCTTGAACTGTGTTTAAATTTTAATGTCATTCTGCCTGATGATGAAGTTTCAGAAATCCTAATAAATCCAAACCATTGGCTAGAACACATGTTGCAGTATAAGTGTTCTAATGTGGGAGATTTTTGTGACTCTGATAAACGGATAATTATTGTTGAATCAGATACTGATATATTCTGTGATAATTTTGATGCAGATTCAGCAGTAAGTGAATTATTTTCTTAAATTTATTTAAGATAAAATATGTTGTAAATTTTGTGGAAAGTTGTGCAGATTTTAATTTGCATAAAAAATTGTGATGTCTGGTCAAAAACTTGCTAGTATAATGAAAATTCTGCTTTTCTTATTTTTTAACTGATTTCCTCTTACATACTGTTCAAACCTTTGAACTCAGTAATTGAATATAAATTATTGACATAAAATAACTGAGAGGCATTTTTGTGATTTTTCCCAGTGAATAACTTTAATTTGAACTAGTTTCTCTTAACTGTTCAATAAACTGACCTATGTCAAAATTTCTTTGAGTTAACACCAAATGTTTTTTGCATTTAAAAATTCTTGCTGTGTACTAATGATATTTCATTACTTGATAGTTTTAATGTCAATTCAAAATAATTGTCTATCATCATTTGGAGTGAACTTAATGCTTATGTTCAATGTATTATATTAAGGTTTTAATTTATAAAAGAAATACATATTAATGTAATTAACACACACTGCTACAAAGAACACAGAAGTTAGTGCATTTTGAATAAAGACACAAAATCTTACCAAGCAAAACATTTATTTATTTCCATACAGTCCCTCTGTTTCAGAGGTCAGTTTCTGAACTGTTCACAGTACAAAAAGAAAACATTCAAAAATTCAGCAAGCATGTGTTACAGTTTATGTAGCGGGCCACGAGAAGGCGGGCACAGCTTTTTTATTTTTAGCTTGATTTTTTGATATAGATGTAGTGAACGATGAATGTTCTTCTATAAGCATACAATTGTTGTAAATAACTGTAAATAAAGTTTCTGTGTGATAAAATTGGAAAAGAATTCCAAGCGTTCCTGTGGATATTCATCAAGAAAGGTAAGCAAAAAATCACTTATCAAATGTTGTTAAATGTAAAAATTAAGAATAAGAAAACACAAATAAGAAAAAAGTTCATAAATTGCAACAGCATGTTGATGTCATGGATAGCTCCGCCTCCAGCCAGTTACTATTTCACTTCATTTCACAACAAACACAATCCTGCAGTTTATCAGAAAGATATAAATTAGTTTACCCTTGTGTCTGAAATTCATATGCAATTGTACATTAACAATTCTGTTTTAGATTTGATTTTAATATTGTGATGGAACTGTATTAGAAATTGTTGAACTTTAATAGAGATAACGGGAGAAGTTAAACAACAAGAATTAGCATAATATTTGTAAATTTTGCAGGGCAAGTCTCTGGTTTAAATACAGAACCATCGAAACTTGTCCTGCAAAATTTACAAATACAGTACAAAGTCCGTAATTCGGACTCGTCGGGATTTTGGCGATTCCGGATTATAGATCATCAATTTAAATCTGGTAAGATGGCATGCAGAAATTATACAATTAAAAATATGAAACCTTATTTATGAGAAAAATAAAGAGCAATTATGATCTAAAGGGTATTAAATTTTACAGGGAAAAAAATTGGGGGGGGGGTTGTTTGTTTACTTTTTTAAACATTTCTTTCAATGTGTGCATGCATAGAGCATACATTACGCGCATGCATAATTCGCATAATGTATGCATGCACATTCTTTACATGCATGTGTAAAGCATAAAAAAAAAGTTTGTGGCCTTTGAGGTCCGGATCATAGATCATTCCGGATAATGGTCGTCTGGATTACAGACTTTGTACTGTAATATGCTGATTCTTGTTTTTTAACTTCTCCAATAATCATTATTCGCCTACATTTATTAGAGATCCAAGTAAAATTTTAAACTTATGCTTTAACTTTTGAACTGAAAAATTTTACATTCAATTAGTGCTATTCATAATAAAAATGTGTAAGTAATGGTCATTTTTTAAAATTTATTTTACCAGGAAGAATTTGAAGATAGCGTGTGTTTTAATGCTTTAAACATACTTAAACATAATTGGACAAGGAGTCTCAAAGATTATTGCCATTTGTTTGTTATCCACTTTGCTGATGGTGTTTCAGATTCATCTCTTTCAGAAGCTCAAATTGTGCCCAAAGTTCGCTACAGTATACCTGATCATTTAGTTGATTTGTGTCTTAACTTGAGTTTCAGCAGAGAATCAAGAAATGCAGAAATAAGCAAGAAAATTGAGGAACATTTAAAGTCTCACCCAATCAGAAATTTGGATGTAAAAACTTAAATGCAATATTTGTATTCACTTTAAATGAGCTTATCGTTGTACATATGCATATATAGCTCATAATTTTTAAAGCATAATAAGTTTGTATTTCTAAGTAACAATGAGTTCATCTCATATTTGTTATATTTGATATAAAAGTACATAATATTTCACATCTAGTATGTATATCTTCTACATAATACTTATGTAGTGTATTAATTTTTTAATGCATACGTGAAGAATTATGTATAAAAGGTGCATTTTTTTACATTAGCATCATCTATAGCATAATCTTTCAATTTTTCTCATGATTTTGTGATACTATTACTTAAATTGTACGCACAACTTGCATATTGTAAATACAGAGTGGATATAAAAAAACTTCCCGGTATATGAACACCTAGTGGCCTATCTGTTCAGCCAATCAAATTGAACTTTCAGATATTGTTATTTGAAGGTATGCATTGAAAATTTTGGTAATTTAAAGCAACAGAGCTCTCATGGTTTGGGTTGCAGTGAAAAAAATTTCAAATGTTTGAATGGCAGCACCCATTTTTTTTTTTTTTTTTTCCCCTTCTGTGCAAATTGATCAACGCATTTGAAAACCATGATGAAAATTGCTGGCTTAAAACATTTGCAAAAAGGGCTGTAGTGTAGAATTGGGTGCTCCTTCATTTGACGACAAATTTTGCTCAGTTTTGGGATGAAACCCCATTTCTGGTTACCATGATAGTTTTAACTTCCTGATTTTTTTTAAGTGAAAATAGATTGATGTGTACATAGATAAAGTCAAGGCAGTGCGCAATACCGAGTTTGTACAATTCTCTGATTTTTTTTTATGTGAAAATAGATCCATATGTACGTGGACACCGAGTTTTTGCAATTCTATGACTTCTTATTTTGGTTTCGTGTAGCGGCCATCTTGAAATTGTGCCTCCTTGGTTCCAATCTTGGTGTAAAAAAAGAATCGCCGAAAAAACAAGGGGCATCCAATTGTAAACTTTTATCCAAAATGCATTGTAAGAAAGAAAGAAAAAAAACTTTAATTGGAGTTACAGGTTTTGAACATGCCTACCTTTGCAGAAGATAACTCATTGCATGTGAGAGATTGTTGACAACAATGATGAAAATGATGAACATAGCATTCCTGTAGGAATCTGTTTAACTTCATGTTTTATAGCATCTTTCAATTCTGACAAATCTTGCGGATTTGATATGTACACCATTTAAGGTGTACTTGATTTCTGGTTTGGGGGTTATCTGAAATTTAATTCAGATAACCCCCAAACCAGAAATCCATCAGAGTGAGGTCGGGGGGGAAGAGATCGAAGTGGCTACGAAACTGCAAAGTTACGATATCAGGCAAGGGGCGACGTCTGTCCCCGGGCTCAGCATCCAGGGGGCACCAAATTGATGTTACGAAATTTTGCAATGAAATGTTTTCCATTCTTGACACACAGAAGGGTGCACAAAATCTTCATTTGTCCCTGGGCATTGAAAACCCTAGCTATGGTTCTCTGTGAACAGCATCTTCTAGAGTACGTTATTCTGTGTTCTGCTGGCAATGGCCAAATGTGGCAATCGAAGGTACTATCAGCAGCAGTTGCTACATCAAAAAAGTTGAGCCTAAAGTAGTACCTTTCATTCATTACATTCCTGCATTTTAACAAAAGAATGCCTATCCCTATCCTTTGGGCTGGAATAGAAGCGATATGGGATGCTGCTGTTCCTCAGGTACACATGAAATTCATTTAATTCGTTATGATGACAAATACAAGCACATGGGACCTTCACCAAATATTGATTTTTGGCTTTTAATAGTGTTGTATTACTCTGTAAATTTAATCATTTCCTTGTATTATTTAAGGTCCTATGTCAAATAAATTTCATTTTGTTCTAATGATTCCTTTGGGGTTTGGTATATTGCACAAACAGGAGCATGGAATTTTGGATAGGTTGGCTCCTCATAATGTATAAATCTGGTTAAATCGTTATTTATTGCTATAAATTACATAGGCTGTATACTTTTACTATACTACTTACTAATTGAGTCGAATTTATATAATTTATGTGTTATACATAATAGAAGCATATAATAGTAAAAGCATATTAAATTCAAACTTCTGATGGTCAAATTAAATGCAAATCTGTAATGAAAGAGACACATTGAATTTCTAACTTATTAGTTTAATTCTATTTTATATTTTTTTTTTCCTTTGATAAAACCTTTACATAGGTGTCATGACTATTATCGATCTCCATTAAAAATTTTAAGTGTAGCAAAATTATTCCTAAGCAGCGTTCAGAATTTTATTTTCTGACATCATTGATTAGACTGTACAAAATTATATCAATCAAATAATCAAGTACAGTACAGAGTTCAAAATACGGATGTCCGGATATCCAGAACGATCTAATATCCAGACCTCTGGATCACCAGCAATTTTTTTTAAAGATCTTTTTCACAAAAAAGGAAAATGCGATTTCAAAAGTAGTGTCTCGTTTTAGCATATGCTTGCTGCTTCATATGTGCATAATAGACATTTTTTCATGATAAAGAATGTAAAAGGATTCTTAATTTCAATTTGGCACTGTATAAAACCCCTCCATGTGGAAGAAACTCTGTTATTTATTACCATACATCTGTGTGATCAACGATTTTGCTCTATTGCCATCTTTTTTCTTGCCATACAACTCAAACCAAAATAAGTTCATTATTAATTTTACATCTACCGAATAACTTCTATTCCTCTTCCAAAACTGGCAAAGCATTTCTTATTATTTATTTTCATCACCACATGATTATCAACTCATGGCAGCTTGAGAAATGACTCTCATAGTAATGTCCCCCCCCCAATTTTTTTTAATATTAATAACCAAACAGCATGGTAATATGTTATGTTGATGATATGCTTGGGGACCATTATATACTTCAGCCTACTGTACTTTGAAGTGTTGAATGTGTTGGTCAGAAGAAATTTAATACAAATTTATCTCTATATACAAAAAGTAGATTTGCTAAAGGATATTCATTGACCAAAAGATTTTATTTAATACTGTTTAGATTAAGAATAACTCACTTGTTTTCCAGATAAGCCTTTAGTGATTCATTTATTCGGAGCTTAGATAAGTCATAAACATTTATGGAAAATAGATGTAAGTACAGTGTGCAGCAGGGAAATTACCTTATTTTAAAAATGAAATAGGAATATTTAGGGAAACTACCTTATCGCTTATACTATTTTAACAGAAGTAATATAAGTGATAGCAGTTTAATTTTTTTGCAAGTTATAGAGACACACTTAAAGTTTTTTTTTTTTTTTATGATGGTTTAAAAATAATATCATTAAGGTGGCCTCCGTTCTGGTCAATGCATTGAGATAGTCGTGTTTTGAAGTTTCTTTTCACTTTTACCAGCATATCAACGGGTATGTCACGGCAAAAATTCATGATTGAGGGTATTTATAACTTTAGTAGTACGAATAAAAGTGAACCAAGTCTGTCGTCAGATCTTTTAATAAGATTTATATCACTGTGGAGATGAAATAGCACCATTTTTAGATTTTCTTGGCATTACTCACATTTATTTTTAATGATAACAAAAAATATGGATTCAAAATCAATAAAAATTTTAAACCTTTCTTCAAATTCTTGCCATAATATTTTATGTCATAATAATGCTAATTAATTTATGGAAAATGTATTCATGGGCTGCAGAAAATTGTTTTAGGAATGCCAGTTTGAGACCACTGCATTTAAATCAAATAAAAAATTAGGTGTCAGTACTTTTAAATAGAGAATATTTTTGTATAGATTTATGTATTTTTTCCATATTAAGAATCCTCATTGAAATAAAAGAGAATAAAGGGAAAAGTAATTTTTTTTTTTTCTTGCATCAACACATATATCTCCTGCTCATAAAAAGTTATGCCAGAAGGTGCCTTGGGGTCCCAGTTATTAAAGATATTTAGAATTTTACTGTATATCTAAATCAAATGCTTGAAAGTAAATGCATTGCAGAATTTTATAATTCAGACCACTTTATTGTAGTACAACGTGTTTTTATCATATCCTTATACAAACAATAAGTTACATCATCAGTAATAAAAATGTGCAACCCTCAGGGAATTTCAGTTGTTCAAGACAAGCTTTCTTAGAAGTTGATTGTTATAGTCCATCCTTCCTGAACTAATTCATGTGAAGAAATTTGTAGTGGCCCAGTTATTGCACGAATAATAATTATTTTTTATTTCAAGTGTTATATATTTTGCATGTATTTAATTATTTCATAAAATTAACTTTACTGTTTTGTTAATATTCATATTTACATTTCTTTTATGCTGATGAACAACTTTATGAACAATTAGTTATTTATATATGTTTGTATTTCTTTTACAATGAATGGCAATGAGTAATGATTCATGATTACTTTGGTTTTCGAATGTCGTTATTCTAGCAGCAGCTCATTTTGATAGCTGAAAAACAAAAAGTAATAAACTTAGCTATTTGTTTGTAACTTTCGCTTTTCGTAATTATAATTTAGTTTGAACATCAATAGCCAAGGCTGCAAATTCATTTGAACTACATTAAAGTTTAAATATTTTATTATTAAATTGCAGAAATGCTACATATTTTCCGTGGAACTCAACACTGTATTAACAATTTGTGTTGTATTTAAAATTTATGCCCACCGGCACCCAAGTAGTAAGATTGTTGAACATTGATTGTTTGATCAAATCCCGCTGAATAGGCTGGCTGCATGGGAGTTTTCACGATTTTTCCTTTGTGGATAATGCGTTGTATAATGTGTTATAGGCATCCTTCTTTTCTCCAGTATTTGTACTTGGGCTCATCAGTATGGCAGTCAGTGTCACTAGCCACTATACCAGCTAAGTGCCAAAAATGCTTTACAGCAGGAATACCCTCCCCCCTTTTATATGCTTTGCTGTAATCCAAGTAATCTAAATCATGCCTATCTAAGATTTGGCAACCAAAACCTTTGTTTTCCTTGGAATTGGCTAAATTTTAAACTTTAGTACTGTTTATAATAAACTGTATGTTAGTGTTTAAGCTTTACTATTAATATTTAGTTTTACAGTGATTTATATATTTTAGGATTGTCTGTTTAATTCCAGATTAATCAAGTTTTGCTGGATTATACTCAGAGTATTTATGTTAGACTTTAGATCCAAGTGTTATTAGTATTTAAGTTAATAAATTATGGTGCCAAAATTCTACAAACAAAAAGGAATTCTTATTGTATTTCTTTGGGAAAGGAAGGACAATTATTACATTTTCAGAAAGACTCCTGTATAGCAAACATGTTGTCTAATTGTCTGCCCAGCTTACTGAAGCATGCCAGTAATGATGAGGAAGACTGCATCAGCTGACTTGCAACATTTTTAGTTTCTTTAGCATTTTAGTTGCATAGACTACATTGTAGTTACTGCAGAAAACATCAAGTGGGGTAAATCCAGCAGTCATGATGACCAGGGAATCTATCCTACATATTTGTTCCACTATGTAGGAAAGACTGTTAGGTACTGCTTGAACCCCGAAATGTGCCTTCTGTCTGAAAAAAGTTCTGAATAACCCTTTTAGTTTCCAGAATTCTGAGTTTTATTTGTCTTCCACTTCCTTTGTTCCTGATTGTTGGAACTACAAAAGCTAAATGTGGGAGCCTTGTAGTTTCATCAAGCATATCAATTAATTATCTGAGTGTATTATAAAAAGACATCTGCTAGTAGACATCATTGTAGTTGATACTGTAATGACTGCAAAAAAGTTCATGCGAATGTTTTCAAATTTATATTTTTGTACTGGTGTATGAATCCCTTGTATGTGTGTGTGTGTGTATATATATGTAAATGATCTCATCATATACAATTACCATGTTTTTGTTAATTAAATAGTCTTGTAATTCATGGTTACATTATTATTATTATATATATGTAAATGATCATCATATACAATTACCATGTTTTTGTTAATTAAATAGTCTTATAATTCATGGTTACATTATTATTAAATCCTTTTACATCTAGAGCAATATAGTGCCTTTGATTTATCTTGAAGTACAAAGTACTACTGTTTGTAATTGAAGATAGGATATTTCTTTAGGTTCCATTAGGATCTTTATTGTTCATTATCTGCTGTATATAACTATTTCGAATGATAAAATCTAAAGAAATGCCATGAAAATGCTAAATGAGTTTTTTTTTAAAATTATTTTATTATTTTTTAAATTCGATGTATGTTAGCTTCAAGTGTGTTTTCTTTGAATGTGATATTCGAAGAAAGCATAATTTTATGCTACATTGTAGCAGTATTGTTAATATAGGTGAAATTTTATGATGTAACTAGTTAATTATTTGAGAGAAATTGGAAATATATTGTTATATTTTTGAAAATCTCTCAATATATTAATTATCTGTGACATTATTGGACTCTCTGCCAATAACACAAAATCTTTAACCTTTAGCAATTTCAGTTTTACATTAACTTTTAAATTTAATTTGTGATGTAATGAAGGTGGCAAAACTATAATGCACGTTTCACTCAATTATTTTTAGAGTTTGGTATATTAAAAAATTAAAGTTTTGCTAATGTCTTATTAAAAGGCATAAATAATAAGAAAACAAAAATTTCCACATGTTTAACAATCTTGTATGCAATTATACATACTATGCAAAATTTATAGTAACTATGCAAAATTTTCTTTGCATTATGTTGTACAATTTATCAACTCTTTATTAAATCGCTGAATGTGTACTGAAATGATTGCTTATTTTTCTTACATATTATATTTGGGACATTTATAAAGGGCATAGTGCTTTGCATAATTTTAAAATTTAGGTTTTTGGTTGTTTAAAATATTTTACTTTCTTTCTTAAAAATAAATGCCAAATTTTAAGCTTTTACCCATGTAAGGTGTTTTACAAATACACTATATTTAAATGAACATTTCATTACATTAAAATCTGTTTATTAAAGAATTTTATACATTATTTTTATTATTTAGGCTGCTGTTCTGTATGCATAGTACAGTAAAATTATTAAACAGGATAACTGGTTTTGCATTGGAAACATATGTAGTCACACTTTTATGTTATTTAGATAACATCGTTGAGTTTATCAGTTATGTTATATCTTAAATTCATATAAAAATGTTAAATATGAAGCTACTTGCCGTGAAAAGGTTTCTACTTCCTCTTAGGAAGGAAAACTAAACTCTTAAGAATTTGCCAACTAACAAATTTTTGTGATCGTATAGTGAAACGTGTACAGCATTTTTGCGTTGCGAAAAAAAATGCATCCCGGGACCGCGCCGTGAGAGGATCGAAAACATAAGACATATACAAGATATAAAGGAAAAGTTCATATTAAATATATAAAAAAACATACTGTAAGAGGTTCCAGATTAAATATCAGTTTATTCAATTACAACACAATAAGAAAAATCTTAACCTCATCTGAGAGTCTGTTCATTTTGAGTCTGTCCGGGCTCATCTTGACACAGGTTCTAAAAATGTAGACTCCACTTCACTACTGTAGAACAGAAACAGGAGCACTGCTGCCCAGGGCGGCTATCCGCTTGGTCCTGAAAGTCCTATGTCCACACGCAGGTAACTCGTTCAAATTTCGCCTCTTTACCAGCACGCCGCAAGGAAGAGGGTTTTCAGGCTCAGGTCAGAAACGTTTTTTTTCTAGGCCATTTCAGCTCGCCTGTTCTTACTCATCCCAAGAGCAAGCTTCACGAGTAACGACCCAAGTAAATTCCACCCACCAGTCAGTAAGGGAGAGAGTCCAACTCCAATTTTCTTCAAGCCAGTTTTCAAGAGCAACGTCCACAAGACCAGCAACCCGAAAGTCAGCGAATCCAAGCGTGAGTGCCTAAGCGAGTCCAAGAGTAAGTGTGTAAGAGAGTCTCGCCTCTTAACCAAAACGCGGCCGGGGAGCATATTTGCCGCTCCCCGCCGGAAAACACCTCTCGGAGTCACTTACATTTTATCCAGCAAGCCCAAAAATCAGCGAGTCAGTCCGAGAGTCAGCCAAAAGTAAGTGTGTATCCAACTCGAATTCCCTTCGTCTCCTTCACAAAACGGGCTCCCACTATGGCTTCACTTATCGCCCCCTTAATTATGGCAAAATCTTCGTTTTCAACTCCAGAATGCGGAAATAAGGGTGATCGCGCATGCGCGCCCTTCTTCACTTAGCCAACAACCGGACCCTCAATCGCCAAAAACCTGAATGACTTACATTGAAAGACAAGTAGCAACCTTTGACCTTTCCGTCACGTACTTTCCTCTCTTAAGGTCAACTAACAATGAAAATTCTTTCTCGAACATTCTAAAGCGCGCGAAATCATGACTTGGCGAAAATTGCCTCCCTTTCCCTGCTGCTTCTTTCACAATGAATAAAAGTTTGTACAAGATTTGCAAATAAAAGAAAATAAATAATATTCATTTATACTAAATATATTTCCCGAAGCATCTGTTTTCTCCCCAAAATTAAAGCCTTAAATTAATAATGCAGAATCAAAATAAAATTTAAATTTCCATAAATCATAAAATCATTCACCTAATTTTTATAACGCTATCCGGTAATTTCTCTACATAACAGTTATTATATGATCTGATTTATGTTTTATCCATTTGTTATAAATGAATATTATATGTATATTTGTTGTACAATAAATATTTTTATTTTGAACAAGAATTTTTGTTTAATTGCATTTAAAAGAAAATAAATGTTGGCATTTACCTTGTTATGTGCACTTCACCATGTCCATAAAAGTTGTTTAGTATCTTCATTTTTGCAAATGTTGGTCTTAAACCTACACTTTTTAGTTACAAAAATATTTTAAAATAGCAGGGTATGAATCGGAAAGCCGTAAAAAATAGCACATGACGTAAGAGACGTGTGATTTTTTATGACATCATAGTTTTGTGTTCATAATGACTTCAGACGTCATCACAAATTCAGTCTTCATTGGTTCTGTCAAGGTTGGTCTCCATTGGTTCTGTCCATTGTACTACCTGTAATTCATTTCTTAGTCATTTTAATGATGTATATTAGTTAAAAAAATATATTGCTAATTAGCCATTGTTTCAATATTCCTTTTTACTTCATTATATGAAGTAAAGAAAGTATTGTAATCACAAGCAATTTTGCGTATCATATTTTGTGTGACATCTCAACGTACGGACAGAATAAAAGACTCTTTTTCCTTAAATGAATTGTAAAATGGATTCAGAAGAGATTTTTTTTTCATAATGTCTGTATGTCTTTAGTTAATTTGCATGAAATAGCTTTTAAATGCTTATCAACAATTTAAAAGTTTAAGTGGTACTAAGCCTAACAAGGCCGCCATTTGTGTACATTTGAACTCTTAGTAGAATAGTGAATTAAATCAGTTGGTGCACCAACTTCAGTGTCTTTTTACACAATGGGATCAAAAGTTAATTTTCAGTTTTGGCACACCAAAAAATCTGTCTTCAGCCCACTGGCCGAATTGCTTGTTTTTCCATAGAAACTCTTAAGTTTAATTGTAAACTTGTTTTTTAACCTTTTTTAAAACTGCATTTGGTGTTTTCAAGTTTTTAATAAAGATGTTTTGAGTTGTTTTTGCTTTGCTGCAAAGTGAGAACTGAATTAATTGAACGAGAAATATATGTCTAATGAAATTCGAGAAAATAAGTTTAAGTGAAATGCAGCAAAAGATTATAATTTAATAGGCCATACAAGGAAGATGTGTTCATATCAGATTTTTTTTAAATTAATTTTCAGCTAAATTAGGCTTTATTTAAAAATTAATTTGTTCATATTCATTGTTAAGTTCAATTCGTTTCACGTTTGAATTGTTAGCGCTTTTGTTCTAATTTATTTGCATTAGCAGTTTATTTTTCTAATTCATTATTATTTGCTTTATTTTAACTATTAATGCTTTTCAGTGAATTTTCCTTCTGCTTGGTTGACTTTACCCAGATTCTTATTACTAATAAAATCATCATTCTTTTAGTATTAAATTTCTTTGTGTTGTTATTTAGAAAACACATTTTGCTTTAATTTTTAAGTCACCTTGATTGTTTAGTCCAGAACAATATTATTAACAGGAGAAATAAAATTCATTTCTTTGTCTGTTTGAGTGCCCAATATATTACGTTCAGGCTGCAAAAAGCTTCTTTATCACCATACAACTGTGCGAAAAACTGACTTAAAAGCAATATTTGTAAAGTAAATAAAATCTTTTAATTAATGTATTAAAATGCATAACGTTTTTACACTTTTCTGCAATATTTTACCTTTCATTACTACTGCTTTACGGAATTCTCCTATCCATCAATACAATACACTCTTTGCTCTATGAATCCAAAGAAAAATTATTAAGTTGCTCTTTACACAAAAGGCAAACAATTCGAGTACACATTGATTTTTTACAGTAATTTAGTAATCATTTTTAAATTAATCTGTTATTTAAAAATTCAAAATTAAGTAATTAAAAGAAAATTAAAAAGTCTATGACTTGCACTAAAGCTGCAAAGTAATAAACCAATAATTCATAATAATTTATAATAACAAAACTTTCCATATACCAAGGCCAGTTTGTTAATTTTAACTTACTAGTTTGATCTTTAAATTTCTAATTAACTACTTGTTTTAACCTTTTAAGTTTGTATCATTTTAGATCTTATTATGATTTTGTATTAACTTTTAATGTTCTAATATGTCCACTTCTGTTTTTGAGTTTGAAAATGAGAGTGTAGGGAATATATCTTCTAAAGTAAGCATCTTGTTCAGATTAATTGTGTTCTTAATGAGAAACTTTAATTTTAAGATTATTTGCTATTTTGTTTAACAAGATTCTTTTGGCTTAGACTAGTGTCTTTATTTGGATTGAGTATTAATTGTGACTATGGTTTGGATTTAGCAAATAATTTGATGCTTACTTGGAAGTAAGATGAAACACTCTCTATTAATTTAGTTAATTGACGGTAGATTTTTTTATCTCCTTGATAAGTTCATTAATCTGCGATCAATGACAATAGCTACTTTTCAATACTTAAAATTTACTTTTGGTTTTGATATTTTTGCAATTAAAAATTTTTCTTAGCAGATTTTTTTAAACAAGAAGATTGAAATTTAATATACTAATTTAAATTCTGATTAATTTTTTTTTTTCATTCATGGTTTAAATTGAATTTGTGCTCCCTTGGAGATGGTATGTGGGAAGTTTTCTTATTATATATTATTTATATATATATATTTAACATACATTCTCTATTATTCTCTATTCGTATAAAGCTAATATAAAATTTAATTTAATTGAGAAAATTTTAATGGCAAAATAAAAATAAATTTATTATTGCTGTGAACTAATTTATAATAACATTTAAGTTATAAGAGCATATATAAATTAAGTGTAAGTATTATAGCACGTATAGTAAAACCATGAAAAATATAATATTCCAAAAAATTAAATTGCAGAAGTGAATAATTGTTGACCAGGCAGCAGACAGACTTATCAAGGGGAAGTTGCAGTTGCATCCAATCAATTACTCAATTCGTGTTTCGTCAGTGTCTCACAAAAATGATGGGACACTTGTGCTTTACAAAAGGAAACTGTAGTAAAATAAATTAAAAAAACATATAAAAATTTTTTGTGGGTGTGTTTCATACTTAAGTTTAGTAACAATTATTACATAACATACATTTTCTCAAAATATTAATTTAATAAGAATACAATTGTTTAGAACGGAGCAAAAAATGGC